CCCCCCCCCAAACCTCACGTCTCCGCTCCTTGCAGGATGACCGCAAGGAAGGGATGACGGCATTTGTGGAGAAGCGCAAGGCGAACTTCACCGACAGCTAAGCCTGGGGTGGTGGGGGTCCCCATGGCCACCTGCTGCCCATCAGCCCCCTATGCCATCCTGTGGAGGGGTCTAGGAATTGTTGGCAAGTGGTACTCGCCCAGGGTGAGACACCCAGCAGGAGGGACCACCTTTGCCATCGCTATTAAAAAGGTTTCCCTGGCACTGCTGGGAGATGGGGCATCCTTGCTGTGGGGTCCCCCTGAGCTGGGAACTGTTGGGGTTCACTGAACCCCCCACTGCTCCGTTCCATCACGCTGCTTTCTAGTGCTGGGCTGGGCAGGAGCAGCCTTGTGGAGCAATAGGGCCGTGTGTCCCCAGGGGAGGGCACAGCCCATGGTACCTTCTTGGGCACAACACTGATGGGCTGAGTTTGCCTGGCCTCAGCCCCACCTGGGCTGAACTGAGGCTGGGGTGATGGGCTGAGTCCCCCACTCGAAGGCATCATCCTCACCTGCTTGGGGTCTTTGGGCAAGCCCCAGATCTGGAGACCCTGCACTTAGCAATAGGTTTCTGGCAGCAATGAGGAGCCCACCAGGACATGGAGGGAGGAATGGGTTTATTGTGGGGACTCAGGGGTGGGAAGGGAGGGATGAATCCCCTAGGGAAGCCCCAGGGGTGGCGCCCAGGCACTCATCTGCTCAGCCATGGTGGAGATGATCACGGTCCTCTTCTGGGCCACTCTGCACCTCCAGAGCCAGTGTCTGAGGCAGCCCATGGGGATCATCCTCCCTGGCATCATCCTGGGGGTGGTGGAGGTGGTCGCGATCCTCCTCAGGTCCCACCTGGGCTTGGCGGGGGCCCCATTGAGCCCAGGCACTGCTGGAGAAGACCTTTATACCTGGTTGCAGTCCATTGGAGGTCTCGCCCTCCTCCAGCGCCTCCACGGATTGCACACCCAGGATGCTGGAAGAGGGGAGCAAAATCAGCAAGGAAAGGTTGCAGTGTGTCAGTGTTACTAAATATCCCCCTGCCCCAAGGGAATCCCACTCCATAAGGGTGCAGGGACCCTGGTGAGGCACCCCCTCCCCCTCCATGAGGCTGCAATTAAGATTTCAGGGGAAAAAAAGGGCTAATTTAGCTGCTTATGCTGTGAATGAGCTGGATGGGTCCAGGACGTTGGCACCACAGCACCTGCAGCTCCCCACCGCCACCAGCAAAAGGAAACCTGCCAGGGCTCGAAGCTCAGAGGGTTTGGGTGATGTGGGGGGAAGATGGAGATGGAAGCCCCTTGATTTTTTTTTGGGGGGGGGGGCCCAAAGCAACAAAGGAAACTTATCCTCCCCTGAAATGCTTTATGTTTTGGGGTGTTGTTTTGCTGGTTTTTACAAGCCAGATGCAGGTGCTTGAAGGTGTGGGGAATGTGGCTGCCTCTTACGTTTCCTTGGCCAAATCCTGCTCGGTGGCCACGCCCTGCCACTCAGTGTCCCTCGGAGCCTGTGGGGAGAGAGGAGGGTTCCAGGGGGTGGCACAGCTCACGCATGAGTCTCCCTGTGCCAGTTTGTCACGCAGGGTAGCAGGAGGGTGAGGCGGAGAGTGTGGGCTTACCTGGGCGCCTCCAGGTGTGGGCAGGAGGAGGGCAGCACCCAGCAGGACAGTGATGCTGCAGAGCCGTGCAGCTCTCGGGCTGGCAGAGAGATGACAGAGGAGCCACACTGGCAGTCGCTGCGTTGGCTGATGCCTCCCCACACTCATTCTGCAGAGTGCCGGCCTGTGCCCACAGCTCCTGCCTATGCCCACAGTCCCTACCTGCACCCACAGCTCCCTCCCGGCCCCCAGCACCCACCTGTGCCCACACTGCCTCCCCCCTGTGCTCCCTGGTGCTGCCCGCTGGGGCCGGTCAGGGACATACCGCTCCATGGCTGCCTTCCGTGGGCTGCCCAGCCCTTGCCCCGCACTTTGCCCTCCGGCAGGTGCAGCCGCTCCCAGGGCTGCCCGTCCCACCTCCTGGGTGGTGCTGCCGGCGCTGCCGGGGGGAAACGGGCCGTGGGATTAGCTCTGCCTTGCAGCAGGGTGCGTGTTCCCTCTGTGCACCCAGACACTGCAATCCCCTCGCACTAGGGCATGTGTGTCTCCCCGTGCACCGCGGCTTGTGCATCCCCATCTTTGATGAAGCCATCAGCCAGTTTCTGACCTCTGATTAAGTCAACCGAGCAGTGAGCAGGAACAAGGACTCAGAACAGACATTCACCAAGCCTTGCTGTGTTACATAAATAAGGTTTATTAGAGCACGGCGTGGCCATTGCAAGCAGTGGATGTCAGAAGGGAAGAAGATGAGGCAGCTTTAGTTCAGAGCGTGGTTTGGCTGGAAGGGACCTTCCAGGATCGTCGCGTCTGACCCCTCTGCCACGGGTAGGGACACCTTCCACTAGAGCAGATTGCTCAAAGCCCCATCCAACCCGGCCTTGACCTGCCGAAAAGCACAAGCTTTTCTAACTTGTTGGAAGCTGAAGAGCTGGATTCACCCTCTGAAATAAAACTGCAATGGGGTGACAGCTGCAGTGACACACCTGGGCAGAAGGCCTTTCCAAGGAGAGGGATTGCCCCAGAGCCCCAAGTGGGGATGGAGGAGGTGGTCCAGGCAGGACAGGCAGGGGGTTGAAGAGGTAAGCGGTGCCTGCAAACATGCCAGTACAGGCAGATGTCTCCCATGAGGCTGCCAAGGCACAGGCATTTGCTGAGCGGTGACATAGCCCAACAGGTCAGGTTCACTAAGCCCACCAAAAGGAGGGGAGCTTTGTCTGGTGCTTGATTACTGGGTTGAGTTTTGGGCCCCTAACTTCAAAAAGGCCATTGAATGACTCGAGCATGTCCAGAGAAGGGCAACGGAACTGGGGCAGGGTCTGGAGCACAGGTCTGCTGGGGAGCGGCTGGGGGAACTGGGGGGGTTCAGTCTGGAGAAGAGGAGGCTGAGGGGAGACCTCCTGGCCCTCTGCAACTCCCTGCCAGGAGGGTGCAGAGAGGGGGGATGAGTCTCTGGAGCCAAGGACTCAGCACCAGGCCCAGAGGGAATGACCTCAAGCTGCGCAGGTCAGGGTCAGGCTGGCTCTGAGGAAGGATTTCTGTGCAGAAGGGGCTGTTGGGCATTGTAATGGGCTGCTCAGGGCAGGGGGGGAGTCCCCATCCCTGGAGGGGTTGAGGAGTCGGGCTGAGCCAGCACTGAGGGATCTGGTGGAGTTGGGAATGGTCAGGGTGAGGTTCATGCCTGGGCTGGAGAAGCTTCAAGGGCTTTTCCAACCTAGATGATTCTGTGATTCTGTTAAGTTCTGGAGGCCTCTCCCCTCTTTACCACTAGCTGTAAAGTGTTACAAAATGTAGTATGGCTTTGGACAGTTACAGTGTTTTTTTGTGGAAGCATGTGCTTGTGAAGAGCAGGAGAGCAGAAGCAGCAGTAAAAGCATGGCCTTTCAGCAACAAATCCTCCTTTTGACCTGCAGCATCACACTGAATCCAAGCGACGGTTTCTTTCTGGTTTATAAGCTGTTACGCTGGACAAGGAAGTGAAATTAAAATGTCACTGTGGCATCCGTTTAGGGACAGAATTTTGTCGGTCAAACCATGACATAGAAAAGCAGGCCCAACTGGCTGTAGCATGCTGCAAGCACTTTCAGATTCCACAACTCATGGGAAAGCCCTGAAACAGCGGGGCTCACCTCGTTTTACAGAGGCAGAGCTGGTGCCAGTGAGAGTGAGAGGCAGCCAAGGGCAGAGGCAAGTTTCCCCACAGTACTCCAGTGCACTTGTGGGATCACAGTGCTGCCTTCAGACTGCCAGAGTGTCACAGATGAAGCAAACTCAACACAATAATCCCTTTGCTAACTGGAATAGTTCAGGCAAAACCACATTAACCTTTATGCTGAGACACAATTAAAATTAATAAAATGATACTGATCCGGGTGCTGGGGTGATGGTGACTGTTTGATGGCTACCTTGTATCTCCTACAGGTTAAACAGCACATGATGAGGGGGATTTCAAAAGTCAAGCCAGCATTAGGCAATTCAGTTTCAACTTTTTGTAAACATTTTATTGCAAAAAAAATCCAAACAGAAAAAACAGCAATGCTGCTCTGGCCTTGCAAAACCTATGATTCAGAGCAGATGTTCACCTGCTTTATTTGTGCCTTATCCTGTGACTGCACGGGAGCACAGACAGCTCCAGTGAGATGCACCAGCTCAGCCCTGAGTCAGCCGGGATGGGAAAGTGATACAGAACACAACTGAAACTTAGTTTAAGTATTTCAGGACAGAGCTCTTCCTTTCAGACCCACGCATTCCACAGCACCCTGCAAAGAGATCATGGGCGGGCAGACTAACAGCAAATTGCTGACATGGCTTTCATGGTGTCTTCATGCTCTGTCCTTCCTTACGGTTTCCTCTTTCAAAAATGGCTTTTAAAACCTATATGGAAATCCTTCCTCATTCATCTTCAACACAGAAGCACCCTGAGCCATTCTGCACTAGGCACTGCAAAATGCAATTAAGGTGGTCCCTGCCCCAGAAATTTTTGCCTACGGAGGCCAACAGTACAGACCTGGATTTATAGAGTCGTTTCTCTGGCACCAAGGGGCTGGGGCTGGCTGCAGGCTGAGGGATCTCCATGTTCTCACTGGGCCCTATTTCCATCGGGTCCGCCTGGAATTGCTCTGACATCTCCACACTCACATCCATTGGCACGCTGGCACCCTGCTTCACAGCAGCACTTGTGGGCTTGGGGACACTGCAGAGACAAAAATTTGTATCTTTTCTCAGCAGCTGTGACATGAGCCTAGAGCAAAGGAAATGATGAAACAGGTTAAGTCCAACTTAGGTGAGTTCCTGCAGGGAGGCACAGAGATCTGGCTGTGCAAACCACCAGGAGCAGCTAGAAAGCTGCTGGAGAGCTCCACAATAGGCTTGTATGAGTTTCTACTTAAGCATTCAGGGTTGCTGCATTATAGCACACAGCTTTGTACCCAAGTTCTGTTCTTCAGTCCATAAAGTGTAACTCATTCAGCAGGCCTAGTGGGTTGGACTGGAGGGTTCACACCAGGCTACTCAAGCAAGCTTTGAAAGATCACAAACCAAGGCCCCTGTCCCTTTGGGCACCCATCGCTGGGCCACACCACCCTGCCAGGTAAGAAACTGTCTCTCCATCCCATCACTCAGGTCTTTGAGGAAAGTGTTAAACATCAGTCCATGTATTAACCCCTGTGGTGAAAGCAGTGCTTGAAATCAGCAGCCAGCTGAGAAAGCCATTTGCCAAACTTACAAAGTCTGCCTCTGCCCTAACTGTGCTTTTGGGGAACGGGAATATTGCAAAGGGTTGGGGAGCAAAGCAGGAAATGTGCACAAAGTAATGCAGAGATGCTAGGCTTTGCGTTTACACTTGAGATGGCATGAACAGAGCAGAGCTTCAAGTCATGTGGGAAGAGATGCACTACAACATCAAGATAAAGTAAATAAAGTTAATTAATTACTCAAGCTTATCCAAAGAAGGGCAACGGAGCTGGGGCAGGGTCTGGAGCACAGGTCTGCTGGGGAGCGGCTGAGGGAAGTGGGGGGGTTCAGTCTGGAGAAGAGGAGGCTGAGGGGAGACCTCCTGGCCCTCTGCAACTCCCTGCCAGGAGGGGGCAGAGAGGGGGGATGAGTCTCTGGAGCCAAGGACCCAGCACCAGGCCCAGAGGGAATGACCTCAAGCTGCCCAGGGCAGGGTCAGGCTGGCTCTGAGGAAGGATTTCTGTGCAGAAGGGGCTGTTGGGTGTTGGAATGGGCTGCCCAGGGCAGGGGGGAGTCCCCATCCCTGGAGGGGTTGAGGAGTCGGGCTGAGCCAGCGCTGAGGGATCTGGTGGAGTTGGGAACAGTCAGGGTGAGGTTCATGCTTGGGCTGGAAGAGCTTCGAGGGCTTTTCCAACCAAGATGATTCTGTAATTCTATAAAACATTGCCATAGAAAGGCTGGCAAGTTTATCCATTCTTATAAGCAGCAGCAAATGTCATTTCTGAGTCTCCTGGGATATAATCTTGCTTACTCTGGAAAGACAGTGCAACAGCAGAGAAACACAACATCACCTCTACAGGTGAAAACCAGTTGTGCTATTGCAGTTCTGCAGTTACCTTTTTGTTTTCTTTGGGCTATCAAACCTAAAGTCAGCAGGATAAAGGTGAACAGTGACCAAGTGATCCTTTCTGTCCTTGCTGCTCTTCAACTTCTCCGCACAGCCTTCTACCAAACACTTGTACTGAAAGAGAGGGGGAAAAAAGAAGTCATCATTGGAAAAGGCAAGTGGTGTCAGCTGGGGACATGGATGCCCTCCCCAAACAGTCAGTGTCTAAGGGAGCCATCCCATGCTGTGCACACCAACTACCAGCGAAGGGCTGGGCATGGCAACTCACCATGTTTTGCTTCTCAGCCATTATCTGGAAGAGTGAGTCGTGCCACTCCAAGATGTGAATATCCAAGAGATGCCCTGACGGAAAGGAGCGCTTGCAGAAAGAGCAGACGTTCCTGTGCAGCGTGTTGTAGTGGTGCTCATAGCCCTCCAGTGTATCAAAGACCTGGCAGCACCCAGAAATGTGGCAACTGAATTCAGACACCCTGCAGGGAAATTAGGAAATCCACATCTTAAATTAAGTTAGAGCCTTAAATCAAGCTGCATCTATCCCTCTAGATGACTTTATTTACTTGTGGCATGTCTGGTGAATAATACTTAAATTAAATGCAAGATGCAACAGAATGAAGGTTACAATGGTGCTGGCAGTTGGAAATTCTTATTTGCCATTATGGTTTGAGCATTATATGTATTATTGCCCTGTGAAATGGTGCTTTGATTAAGAATAAACAAGAAGCAATGTAAGAAATAAACTGTTTGACCTTAGAGTTTCAGCTGTGGATTGAAACTTTGTGCCAACTCTGTTTAACAGGCATCTCTAAGATAACATCACACAATCCTCAAAGCACCTCCTCAATTTTATACACAAGGGCAGGTTTTAAAGCAAAACAAAGATTCTTTCCTAGCTTTCCTAACGGGGGCTGTCTATACCACACAGCTTTCCCACTGTTTTGACTCAGTAAATAACAATATGCTACTTAAATTTCCTTTGTTTAGCTACAATCCGTTTTTATTATTCCATATTTTATTAAGGCATTATTGATGCCTTATCTGCTTGTGGGGAACTCTCAGTGAAAGGACGTCACATCCAGCAAGGTAAGAAGGCAATGTTCAGACAGATAGCTGTGAAACAGGAAATACCCATTTTTGACTTTTTCAGCAGGACGTTGAGATTTGCGAACTATAGTACCTCGTTTTCCTTCCTCAAACTGCTTTGCAACGCATACGCGTCTTCTCCTTTGGCATATTTCTCCCCATTGGCCCCTGAAAGCCACGAACGTGAGGAGGGCACCCGCCCTGCCTCGCCCCCCCCACCCCACGGGCAGGCAGGGCTCACGCCGCTGTGTCAAGCGAGAAGCGCCGCCGCCGCGGCCGGGCCCTGCCGCACTTACTTGGGTCTCTCCGCCACCTCGGCGAGGCTGGTGAGGACGCCCTGGAGGTAGAGGTGCCTGTGAATGTCCCCATCCTAGGAGAGGAGCAGAGAGAGGCGGTGGGCTGTC